CACTGGCAGGGCATGCCACAGTATATAAACAGAGCAAACCCCATCCCATTCTAGCACTGAAAATGTTACCTAGCCAGGTAATGAAATGTTTGCAAGAAAAGAACCAAGCTCAGAGAACTCCAGGGACTCCACAAGCGTATTCTCTATAGCGTATTTAATGTAAAACTCAGTGAATATCTATTAGATTTCATTTTAAAATGGCATGCACATTGAAAGTGAAAAAGAATCAGAAAGATTAGATAAATTCTTCATAATGGTCTTATTTGAAAATAGGGAATATTGAAAATCTAGAAACGCTAGTTGGATCACTGGCGTGTCAGTGCTTCAGAAATAGTAATACTGTAAATGCAGTGAAAAGGGTATTGCCAGTCTTAGAAGAATTACTTATTTCCATATATGCTCTAATAATCAAGCATGTATTTTAAGAGTATATTTGGGGAAAAAACTGAATTCATTGGTTTACCTAAGTAAATAACAGATTATTTAAACAAATTAACTGTAGAATAGTGAGTGTGCCTGTAACCAAGTTCCTGTTTCTTTACAACACTTAATTCGTTATATGTTATATATTGTATTTTGACTGGCATTAATAAATATGCTTGTGGCATAATTTACAAAGATGGACATTTGGATGTCTTGAAAAGAAATCTTAGCTAAACAGTTTAAAACTTGCTTTACACATTGTTCAGCAAAAAAACCTTTTGTTTTCCAATAAGAGATGATCACAGCCAACTCCAGCTTGTTCATACTTGTCCAATGCATGTGTTTCTAGACCTCTGTTTATCACACCTTTTTTCTTTCTAAAGTATACCGTTCAAGAATTAAAAGAGTAAGAGACAACACTGCCCCAGTTTTTAATTGAAGAATTACATTAATAATGTTCATTTAATTAAATTTATTCAATTTAGGTACCACCCAGCTCCAGACTGACTCTGGGCTGTGTTTATCTCCTCTTTGAGAGTTTTCCTAATGCAATTCTTTGTAGTAAATTTAAAGTTTGGCTGCATTCTGATTGGTATGCCAGGAAAATATTAATGCAGTTGCAGAGTTTTATTTTCTCTAGAAACTGAACCTTGAGAGTGCATTTTCCCTGTTGCACTTAAGTAATTTGTAATTTAGTTGACAGTCCAATTCTATTAATCTCTGTGTGGGGGTTTTAAACAAAATTGCTTGCAGCCCTCTAATTTATCTGCTTTAAGGTGATCAAATAGGCATTTGGACCCTTCATGTAAATGATGTATTAAAGTGAAAATAAAACCTATTTTCCAGAAAGTAACTGCAAACCTATTTTATGGAAGACTTCATGTGGAATACCGTAATGGTTGAATAATAAATTTTACCTCACAAAAATGAAATTCAATAATACAGTAGCTTTCTCAGTGCAGTAGCATCTGGTTAAATCTCAGGAGAGCCAATATTTTCCAACTCATTAGGATCATGTTGTTCTGTATGTCGTCA